AGTCGGACACAAAAAAAAAAAAGAGTCGGACACGACTGAGCAACTGAACTGAACTGAGATAGCTTAAAGTGCCGTGTACAATGTAAAGGATGTGTAAATAGTTATGTCGATATATATATATATAGGCACCACACCTGTAAGAATGGCTATTTCACTGTGATTTTGATTCGCATTTCCCTGATGACTAGTGATTCTGAACAGTTCATGTACCTGTTGGCCATTTGTATGTCTTCAGAAAAATGTCTGTTTGCTCTGCCTGTTTTTTTAGTCATATCGGTGTTTTTTTCTGCTACATTCAGCCCTCATCAGATACGTGACTTGCACATATTTCCCCTCATCTGGTGGATTGTCTGCAGCTCGTGTCTGACGAGGTTTTCGTCTGTTGACGTTTTTTCCTCTGCTGGGCAGAGCCTTTAAGTTTGTAGTCTCACTTGTCAGTTTTTACTTTTCTGCCTTTTTCATGGTGTGGATATGGTAGAGAGATCTTTACCCATGCTTCATAGTTTATCTTGTAATTGGAATTTCATATTCTGCCTTTAAATATTCAGAGCTTTAACTCTTTAAATATTGTCTAGTTTGAGACTATGAAAGTAATATGTATATGAGCAACATCACTAACTGGTAACATTAAATACTGCACATTAATATTTAATCTTACTATCTGCCAAATATAACAATGCTGGAATTTGTGGGAATCTGAATAAATGCTTTAACTATTATAAAGATATTTTTGGAGGCATGACAAAACAATGAAATTTTACAGTTGGTGTCATATGTAAATTTTAAAGATGATTCTTTTACAACATAGAGTATGTTTTTATGTGTCCTTCCTGCATCACCAAGTGCTGATCGTATCAGAATAAATAGCAATATGCCATTTCAGGGATCAGTTTCATTCACCGATGTGACTGTGGACTTCACCCAGGAGGAATGGGAGCAACTGGACCCCTCTCAGAGGATCCTCTACATGGATGTGATGCTGGAGAATTACAGCAACTTACTGTCAGTGGGTAAGGACAACTTTCGGGTGTGATTTAAGGTTTGGGTCCTTTCTCAGTTACCCAAGATTACAAGCTTCTGAATTACTAGGTGGTTTTCGTCTCAAGCTTCATGTATTAAAGCTGAGGTAGTGCAGACTCTGAAGTTCTGACTTCTGTATTTTCAGGCTTTCACAAGTCCAAGCAGTTAGGAGTGATGTTCCATTATCAAGGTCTCTAATATTATCAAACCAGATTTTCAAGTTGGGTCAGTAAGAATAGTTGTGGGCATCAGAGTTAGAATTTCCAGGCAGAACTTTCTAGGGAGGGACTTCTCTGGTGGTCCAGTGACCAAGACTCCACGTTCCCAATGCAAGGGGTCCGGGTTCACTCCCTGGTCAGGGAACTAGGTCCCCTGTGCATCACTCAGACCCATTGTAAGCCAAATTCCCCCCCCCCCCCGCCCCCCAAAAAGGAACATACTAGGAAAAATGTGGAAGGTGGGAAGGAGAATCTTATAGAAGCCAGTGGAAGTGATATCCTAGAGATTATGAATGGGTTAGTACCTTTGAAGTATTGTTTAGGAATCTGTTTTTCAAATCCCTAAACCTTTAGAGAAAGCTGAGGACAGATGACCTGTGCACCTCATATCTTGAGTCATGCCTCCAAACATCAGTCTCTTCCTGCTTAGCTTTTTTTCCTGTTTCATTTTTATATCTATTCGCCTCTCATACTCAAGCCCTGATTCTTTCCTAGCATGTTTTAAACCCTTGTTTCACGATTAGTTTCTCTTTCATTAGTATTGTCATCTAGCCAGAATGGTGACTTCTATATTGTAGGTCATGGGAATTGGAATGTAGCCTCAAGGAAAATACACATTTTTCAGTACAAGAGTGACATAAATGGCCTCAGGATCCCAAGGGTCAGGAATATCCAGTAATACAGAGATGAAAGTAAAGGTTCGTACAGCATAGGTGGAGGTCTGGTAAATTTGATCCTTGAGATTCCTTGGAATAAAAGCAGGGACTTAGACTGGTTTGAGAAAGAAATTAAACACATGAAAGTAGAAAAATAAGATATAATGATAGAAACACTTTCTCCAACAACTTTGACTGAAAAAAATAGTGCACCCAGCAGTAGCGTTGAGTGATTCTGTCAAAAGGATCTTGGATCACTTTTATATTTTCTACAGAATATATGAGTTTCTAGATTTTGCCTTCCAACTTGCAAAAGT